TTACAAACTCCTTGCCCAGTTCTACAGGGAGCCCTGTGCCTGTCTCCAAGAGCTCCTGTATTCATGTCCAGTGATAGGCTGTGGTGGATGAAATGCAGGGCAGCCTCAGGGACAGAGATAGGACCTAGTGACCAAAAAGCTGGATTAGCAGGTTTATCAGTCTGGCCCTTTCAAAGGCAAGAAGGCATTTAACCTTGTTTATCTTAATCTTCAAATTCTTTCCTTGAAAACAAGCCTGCCCTGGAAGGGCCAGAGGGCCCAGAAGTGGCTTGCCTTCCTTTGAGTAGGCCTCAGGTCCCAAGTGCAGACCTTCCACACAGAGGTCAAGGGCTGAGACCTCAGACAAGCTGCCCAGACTGTGTGTCTTTGTGTCAGTCGCAGAAGTCAGCAGTGAAGCAGCACAGTGAGAACAGCCAACGAACAGCAAGTAGGAATTGCTAAAAGCACTAGACCATGGTTTACTAGTTGTGTGACCTTAGGAAGCCAGTTATCTTTCTGCACAAGTTCCTCAACATGTGAAAGGGGAATAGTCCCCACATCATGAAGTGCAGATTAAATTGCATAAAATGTTAAATTCTTGGCCCACAAACATTTGTTTGTGGTTTCTGCCCTGATAAAGGATTTTAGACACCAGTAATTATCCTCACAGACCCCAATTCCATTGGGTCTATTCTTGGGGCAGTCTATTCTTTATAGTCTGTGTAGTCATTGGGTGGGTTGTATGAGTCGGGGTGTATGCCTATAACCACTCCAATCTGTGCATACAACCCCTCCCCTGCCCCCTGCCTATAGCATATCATGTTAAGGAGGAGTCCATATGGAGTCTCATTGCTCCCAGGAGTGGTGGAGAGCCATCGTGTCGTGTCCCCTTTCTTTAAGATGAGCTGCCACACAGACCTCACTCCTGAAGGTTGCTACCCACAGGATTTCTCCCTCTCTAGACACATGGCAGTCCTCCACCTACTCACGGGGAGTGAAAGTCCATTCCCACTGGAAACACTCCTCTAGCTCGGAGGAGACCATGCTGCCACTTCCAGGAAGATAGCGTACTGCTATCATCCCTGGATTTCTAGACTCCAAACCTGCACCCAGCACTCTGGGGTGACAGGTTTGGTTGTGTCCTCAGCTGGCAGTGTTCTATTGGGGACAATCTGATTTCAGGCTGCAAGTACAATTTGAAATGTGAGACTAACCTTAAATGTATTACACATGAAGATTATTGTCATGATACACTGTTACAGAATAAGGTTTTATTACAAAGCTGTCTAGGGTTTGGAAGGATAAATGTTTTGGGAAACACCCAAAATTGGGGACTTACTGATGCTGCTCGAAGTCCACCTTCCATATAGTGAGACAGTGGGGAGATCTGATGACCACCTGGAATGGCTAGCTCACCGAGATCAGGCTCAGAGAACTCAGGTTAACACAGCAGCTGGAGACAAAGGTAAAACAAGAGATCCACAGACCACACAGCAAATGGCACAGACAGCTGGGTTAGAGGAGCAGCTAAAACTCTGACTAGCCATGCACATTAAGTCTGTGGCTTTAAAGGTTCACTTTGAGTTCCATCTGCCTCTGATATAGTGCACAGAGTGGAGCCAGGCAGCAGGTTGCTGAGTTGCATACAAACCTACCAGTGAAGAGAGCAGAAAGACAATTGGTCAGGAAGTCTTATACAAACCTACCAGTGAAGAGGAGAGCAGAAAGACAATTGGTCAGGAAGTCTTACTACAGGGGACAAATTGGAGACCTTCGACCAACAGTGTGTGAGGTGAGTGAGGGGCATCAAGTACGTACTCCCAAGCCAGACCCGGGCTCCAGTCCCAGCTCTCCCACAACTCACCATGTGTCCTTGGAACCTTCCTTTGCTGAGTGGCCTCATTTGTCATGACAGCACCTGCTGAGGGAGCAGGTGCAAGATCGAGTGAGCCTAAATGTGTAAAGGGTTTACACATGGCCTGGACCATGGCAGGCAAGTGCTCAGCACATGTTAGCTATTGCGTCACCTGTCATTCAGGGAACACAGTGTGGATGACCATAGACAGAGGGCTAGCAATGCACAAGGAAAAGTGACAAACTTGGTGTGGCTTTAACATATGAAAGGCTTACTATTTCAATCTGATTTCCATTTTGCTTAATAACTACTTTCATAACTACACTACCGCTTCCTAAAGGTCCTAAACTGTGACTTGAACTGTTCTGCTCCACCGATTGGTCCTCACTGGCAGTGTGTTTTGTCCACGCTTGACTGACTGAAAAGCCCAACTTCCCCCAAGACTCAGATTCCTTACCTGCCCCCCAGAACCAAAGTTTCTGCCTTTCTCCTTTCATTGTTTTTACTCAGCAAACCTCTGGAATTACACTTTCCATCCCTGAGGAGCTGTTGACAATTCATTGTGAGACCAACCCAGAGTCTACACAGGAGGGACCTTCCACCTTCTCCCCTTGAAGCCCCCCACAGTGGCTATGATTACTGAATGTCTTTCTGAGCTGCCCTGGCATATTTTCCAGCCTGAGCAAACACACACCACCCTCGCTTCATTGACGGAGATAGACCATGCATGTGAAAGTCAGAGAGAACCTTCAGTGCTGTGTATTCAGCTGCACTAAGGCCTGCTGCACCCTCTGCAAAGCCTGGAATTTCAGGACCTGGGACGGCTAAGCCTTGATAGGAACTTGCTATCAAGGCATTTTCCCGTATCATTTGAAAATTTAGAACAGAAAAAGTACTGGCTAATGACAGTCTTCCAACAAAGGTAGACTCACTGGAACTGTCCACAAGTTCAAAGAAGGAATGGCAGGAATGTGGAGGAAATGAGCTGCAGGCCGGAGGACTTTCTCCCTTTGGCTGTGAGCCTCTGGAGTCACATTCTTCTGGTTTGCCTGAGGGAAAGGTAATCTGTCAGGATCTCTTATTCCAAACAAAAGGACCCAGGTAGAGGGACCAAATAAAGAGGCCTAAATACAGTTTCGAAAGAAAAATCACACTAAAAAGTGTGATTTACTAAAATTATGAAATTATGCCTCAGTAAGCAATTTATGCAAAGACTTTGAGAAATTACTAAAATTAGAAAATCCCATTTACATATGGGGTACTCCTAATTAGAATAAAGGGACCGGAGAGCTGCAGGGAAGCTGTGTGAGTAGGATGTTTGAATACACGGTGGGGGTGGGGACGACAGGACGGGACCCTGAGGGGATGGTGGATGGAGCTCTGGGCAGGCAATAGCAGTCAGCTGTGGGGGCCCAATGACAGGCCACTGAGGGACCCAGAGAGGAACAGCAAGAGGAAGCCATGTCCACCTTTAAGATCGGAGGCAAGAGAGGAGATCACCCAAGTCCTAGGGGAAGCCCAGCCAAGAAAGTTCCATCAACAGGGAGTGATGGAGATGCCTGGATCTCCACCTGCTTCCACTGGCTGAGCCCAGAGTGGTCCTTGGTCATCAACAGAACCCAAGGCCCAAGGCCTAAGGAAGGATCAGCCTCCAGAAGGTAGGACAGAGAATGAGTCTCAGGACAACAGAATGATCATTACATGTCCCATCCCTGGAGAAGTAACCTGGTTTCTGGTATAGGGTAGAAGGCATGGTGCCTGCCATGAGAACAAGAGACACTGTGCAGACTGCAGACAACCACTCGAGTGGAGTTTAGGGAAAAGGGGCAAACAAGGGGGTACTTGTTTGGAACAAGGGATTCTGACATAGAACAGGCTTCCTCTCTTGCTATTTTCTAGACTGGGCAGTTTGGCTTTCTTAGAACTTCGCAACCATCCAGAATACCAGTGACTACTCCCCACTTTCTTTTTTGAGAAGCTGGTCCCAGGGCTGGAGGCTGAAATGCCACCAGGGCCCACTTTCTCTAGCAGTTCCCAGCCATTCAGAGTTTCTTGAGGACCCAGAGCCAAGTTCTGAAGAAAACAAGTAAAAATCATGAAAGAGTTGAGATGCCCATTGGGTGACACGTTTATTGAAAGGAAATCTTGCTTTATCCAGGAATTCTCTTACACGGAGGTAGCTACAACAAGAATGTCTCTTCCACATGACAACCCAAAACAACCAAACCATACCAAAAGCAGAAACCCAATAGAATAAGCCAACTGGCATCGTACAATGATACTCAAAAGTAGGAAAAATAATTATAAAAGATATGATTGTCTCTTCAGCATTGCATTTGGCCACATAATTGTTTTTACAGAAAATAATTATTTTCTTTATAAACTAGCTAAAGAAAATACTCGAGCAAGGTTAGTTCTTAAAGCAATACATGGGGTGGAGGGGTGGGGGGGGACGTACACATAATGAAATCAAAAAATGATAATATGTTGGAACTAAAAAGGATCTCGGGCCCTAACCCTTGTTTTGTTCCAGCAATCCATGGCTCTGAGAGCAAGCGTCCTGTCAAGGTCCCCAGGTAAGATGAGTTGAGCTTTAAAGCACCCCTCCTAACTCCCAGTCCAGTGTCATTCCCATCATGCTATGCTGGGTGCATCCGGCTCATTGCCAACTCCATTTTAGGTAGGATGGCCCAATTGTTCAAATTTACGACTGCCTTTCTAGAGTAAGGATGTAAGTATCTTGAATGGTGACTTTGCTCTCCTCCTATGCACAGCTCTGCTTCTTGGAGCCAGGCTCAATGCTACTAGAAGGAATCGGCCAGAAGGAGGGACAGTTCCTCACAAACCAGACACTTCCTCCCAGAGTTCTCGGTCCTGCTGACCTTTCTCATCTCACCTCTCTACACAGGAGTAGACTGAAGCATTTCTATTGTCCAGTGATGGCGGAAGCAGGAGAGAAATAAGGGAAACAAAAAATAATCCCTGCCAAGGTGCCAGTCGGTGGCACGGTGTTTAAGTGGCTGGATCCCACATGGTCAACTGTGCGATTTGAGTCCCAGACCTGGTGGCTTGAGAAACACACCGGGTGCATGTGTGTGCGCGCCCAAAAATCCCAGGAGAAAAACAGAGGAGAAGGGATTGTGGCCATCCCGCCCAGGGGAGTACTTTCTTATTTTCCCTCTTTCTGATTCTCTAGTAAGCACATGTACCCTACAGCAAATTTTTTTAAAAAAGAAAAAATCCCTGTGAGTTACAGTGAGCCAGTCAACCAACCACAGGCCTGACACATCCCAAAGAGGACAGGGGTTCCAGGGCTGGGGACAAAGGTTCTAAACCTCCACATCAACTGAACTGTCAACTATCATCCCCCTTCCCCTCACTGCTACATTCCCAGTGCCAAAGTCTCTGTCTGATAAACCACAGGTGCCCTACAAATTTTGTTAAATGAATAAATTGCTAAAGGGAGAGACGCACTTCATACCCCAAATATTGGGTTGTCGGAAAAGTCATGCCACATTTTTGCATAGAAAAACAGAAAAGATACATCACGACTTTTCCGACATCCCAATAAATAAGCACAGGCAAGAACCACGCCCAGGTATGGTGAAAGGGGGTTCCGGGTGTCCATTCTTACACTGGCTGATCACTCTGAATTCTGCTGGGTGAGCTTTAGACCTGGGAAGGTGGGACCCCGTCATGGAGATCTTTGGTCCACAGGCCTCTTATCTATAGGGATACTTGGGGACGCTGCCATCTCTTCCCCGCACACGTAACTAACTCCCAGAGTCCTCTCGGCTGCTTTCCTACTGAGTTGCCTGTCCCACACCCCAGCCTGTGGGCATGCCAGGAAACAGTCACAACACAAAGTGACACAGGGAGGCCAGGAGGAAGTCCCAGGATAGCCAGTAACCTCCCAATACCATGCTCCTTGTAATTCTGCCCCAGCCACGTGGCAATGCCCCCTGGCCTCACCCATCCCCAGCCACCTCATTCTTGCTACCTTGGCCTCAGATAATTCTGCCCCAGCCACGTGGCACTGCCCCCAGGCCTCACCCATCCTCAGCCACCTCATTCTTGCTACCTTGGCCTCAGAAGCTGGAAGGAACCTTCCAGTTTACAAAGACAAAGACACTTCTGCCTTTCTTTTCTCCCTTCCCAGACTAGATCTAAGATCCTGTTCAACTTACCTCTTGCCTACACATCCTTAGCTTTCAAGAACTTTCTGTCTTCTCCTTCTGTCTTCTCCCACACCCCCACCTACCTACTTATCACCTTCCCCTCCCATTTCTCATGACTTTAATGGACGCTTCCCATCTTGATCTTACACCCAAGTCTAGAACCTTTTCCCTCGGGCCCTGCTCCTCCCCCTCATCCCAAAGCCACCTCGCTCGGGGGCTAAGGGGGACAGAGCTTGGACGCTATGGGAGCAGGGAGGTAAGGACCCACAGGACATGACAATAGGGCCCATATCATTTGTTAAATCCTTACTTACAAGTGTCCCCACTGCTTGAATGTGGGGGAAAAATTGCAGTCGGTGACTGGGATTTGGTCTCAGCATGGCTTAGAAGTATAATACCATTCTAATAAAAGAAGCGACCAAGGCCATAGATACAGCCCCTGGATACAATGGAGTCTCTCCCCGTCAGTCTGCGTTGTTTACCCGAACCATGTGAATTTCTATCATCAGTGTTGTTCATTATCGCTGCCAAAATTCCTTTTCTTCAGCTCCGATTTCCAAAGTGACCTTTCATCTACCTTCTTTTTCTCTTGCCTCTGCTCCTTAATACTTAAAATCTAGTAGCTTGGTATTTTTAAGAATACTCAATACAGATGTGTGAACTTTACAAACAAGCCACCCTGCAAAGCCTCTGTAGCATGTGATGTAAATGGTAATGGCAGAGAGCCGCGCAGAACAGGAGCTTCATCCTGCTTCTACTTTCCAGAGCCCCCAGTGGGGGGTGACTGCTCCTCCTCAGGTACCCCAGCGTTTTAAACTGCAATAGCTCCCTGTCTGAGACCCAAGAGCCTCCTACCCACGTGGGGACCCTAGAGAGGAACGCAGCATTGAGAAAGTGGCATGCCCTGTGAGGAGGCGGCAATGGGTCTCAGCTCCAGGAGGATGCTCCTGTTCCTGTCTCCGGCTTGGGGCAGCTGCAGAGCTCCTGGTAAGGATGGGCCATGTCAACAACCCCGGAAGTGGCCTCAGATCTGGCTGGCGGCGCTGTCCTTGGGGAAGGTGTAGCTCAGTGGTGCCTCATAGAGGCTCCCTCCATCAGTGCTGAGGTCATCGTCGTCATCCATGTCGTCCAGCACTTTATTCGGCCGTTTCTTCAGTCTGTTGAAACAACAAGGGACATGTTTCCCGGCCCTGATTTGGGGATGCAGGGAGAGTCTTGGGTTCCTGTGCCAAGGGTGTTTGGTATAAGTATAGGAACTTAATAGGCCTGCACCGCACAGCTGCTTCAGAAACAAGGCGCACACTGCCCGCCCTTCAGCACAGGGGGTTAGTGCTGACAGTATAACTGAGTTCTCCTTTTGCCTCAAGTTCAAATATGGCTTGGCACTGTCTTTGATCCCTTAATTTAAAATGTGCACCATGGGTTGTATGCATTAATTTCTATCTCTTTGAATACTGCATGAAATGTTTATCTTAATCACTGAGACTATGCATCCCCTTACATGTTGCACCTTAATGCCGACCTTCAGACCAGTTTCCTGATAGGTCCTATTTTATAGGATTCTCAGTGGGCGGGATCCTCCTGTCAATCTGTTACTATAAGAGAACTACCTGGACAGCCAGCCAAGAGCCTCAGGACACAACCAGCCTCCAAGAGGCTCAATTCTAGGATAAGATTAGGTGCATGCTCCTCTGTAATGCCCCTGGGGCAGAGGAGGTGACCTAGCCAGTTCCTGAACCCACCTTTCCTACTTTTTTTTTTTAATAAATTTTTATTTTATTATTATTATTACTATTGTATCTTTCCTATCTTAAAACCTCACAGGAGATCTGCTCTCTGCCAAAACCAGGCTTGGGAAGTCCTACTCCTCTTTAGAATACAAATGAGAGGCCAGCAGATGGCATAGCAGTTACATCATTGGACTCCCACATGGTAGACAGTGGTTCGAGTCCTGGACCTGGTGGCTTGAAAATCACGCCAGGCGTATGTACGTGTGTGTGCCCCCAAGATCCTGGGAAGAGAATGGAGAAGTGATTGTGGCATGGCTATCTCTCCTAGGGACTGATTTTTTACTTTTCCTCTCACTATCTCTGCCTCTGTCTGTCTGTCTCTCCCTCTCTGTCTCCCCGTGAGCACATGCATCTTAAGGCAAACAGATCAACTTTCTTGTTTCTCCCTGAGTCAGATAAAGGCAGAAGTCATAAAGACTGGTCCAGGAACTGTCCCTTCATGGGCAGATATGAGCTAATCTTACCTGCTGTTGGCCTCAGTTTCCCCTTTTGGTCCATGGGGGAATACCTGCCAGCTAGCCTGGGACTTTGGTATAAGGAGGACACACAGGTCGATTGAAGTGGATGTAGCTACGTCTCTGGGGTGGGATGACCCCAGAAGAGAACACTGAGGAACTGGCTTGAGACACCCAGAGGGAGAATGGGCCAGCAGCATCAAGCTCTCCTCAGATGTCTGTGGGATCATCAGCCCCTGGGGGCCTCCACATTTGCCCACCTTAAGTCCTTCTTCAAGGAACTGAGCTGCCCCTGCAGCTGCTCGTTCATATCCATCTGCTCCTCCAGCTCCCGCTGCAGCTTCTTTTTAGAACTTTCCAGTCTGTCGATTTCCTCCTCGGCCGCCTCCACCTGTCGCTTCATTGCTTTCAGGCGCAAGCTCAGCTGCAGGAGAGAGAGTATGCTGAGTCCCTGTGCTTGACGGCCCAGGCCAGCGGATGGAGAACAGCCCCAGGACAGAGCTGGCAGCAGCCACCTTCTCCCCAGACAACCGAGTCACAGGTAATGTGACAGTCTCACAGGACAAGCAGATAGCAGCCTCCCAGACAAGATGACTTCCCAACAGCCAAGGTCAGAGTCCGAAGTGTGCTGAAAGCTCCTACTTCTGCAGACTAGAAAGCCTCACTCTCTGAAGTAACTGGAGGGGCAGGAAGGGAAGAACCAGCCTACCTCAGTTCCACCGCTGCCCCAGTGAGGCCTTGTTCCCTCTTGCTTCCACAGCTTAAGACATAAAATCTCATCTGAGGACACGCGCACACGGGCTCCCTCACCTGGTCCTTCTGATCGGTTAGCGACAAGTGCTCATCATCCACCTGCATCACCAGCTCCTTCACTTTCCGCTCTAGCCGCCGGTTGCTGAGCTGCAGGTTGGCCCTGTCCCTGGAAGGCAAACCAAGGATCTTCTCATTTCCAGCCCCACAGGGGCCCTGTCCAGGATGCAGAGGAGGGGAAGCCCCAGCCAGGGGTTGCCTAGTTGTCTCAAGGCTCAGTCAGAGGAAAATACACAACCGTTCAGAAGGAAAGGGCTGCTCATCAGACAGATGATGAACCAGAGGCTCCAAGAAGGGCAGTGACAGGTCCAAGGCTGCAGAGCCAGAGAGTGGCTGAGCTGGGACAGACCTGCCCTCACTTCTGCCATTCCCGAGCTTGACGATAAGGCAGAGTCAAAGACTGCAAGATTGCAACTGTTTGGGATCTGTTCTAGGCTGCTCCAACCCAAACCCCTAAAAGTCTTATGGAAAACAGATAAAGTGAAGTGTTAAATGCACATCACAACCCTTCTAGGAAGATGAGGGCCAGGAGACAGAACTGAGGCTGGTCAGGGTCAACCAGGGCTGGTCCTTAGCAGAGTCGGTGCCCCAGCCTCTAACAGTTCGTGAGGCAGCCTGTCCCATTTAGCGAAGGAGGAAAAGAACAGCAAGGGCTGTGGAAGAGCTATGGACTCAGGAGTGGAGGGCCTAAGCTTTAGGCCAGCTACACCAGTATCACGCCAGGTTATGGTACTCGCTCACTTACTTTGCACCTCAGCTCTCTCGTCTGTGAAAGGGAACAGTAACAGCATGGCTGTGCTTGCTCGGCCTTCCTCACAGCCGTGTGGTATCGGAAGAAACAAGGACTGTGGCAGTGCCCTGTAATGGGTTACCCTGCCCGCCAGGGCCTCTGTGCCCCAACAGGCCAGGCTTACCTCTCCTCACTCTCCAGACGGTCCTCCAGCTCCGCGATCCTGGCCTCCATCTGCACCACTAGCCCCTCTTTGCTGGACCTGTAGGAACCTTCCAGGTGGATAATCCGGCTCTTTAAGTCTTTGTTCTGGAATGAGATGGGGAGACTGTGAGGGACTGCCAAGCTGTCTGTACAGAGCAGAACAGATGTGAGGTGGAGCCAGGGGGTTGTTCTGTGCCTGCGATGAGGCTGCTTTCCATACTGGAATATGTGGCCCCCAGAGCCGCTTCCAGAGAAAAACCTTGAACTCAAAGAAGAGATTCTAACACAGTCCTTTATAAGCCTGAATGACATCTCTGCCATGTCCTAAGACTCTCAGACATCAAACGGGCTTGGGCTTGTCCTCTCATAAGCTTAGTAGGGGTAAAGGAGGACATGATCCCTTAGTGAAGAATTAATATGAGTAGTCTGAAAAAGAAATAAGGGCCCAGTGAAGCCTCCTTAGCCACTCACGTGTCTGATGACACCGATTCTTTTCCATTTCTTTTCATTGGCATTTAGCCCTCATTGGAATGTTCTAGCCCAAAGCCACAGGGAGGGAGGGAGGGAGGGGCTCGTGGGGCCAGCTGCCTCACCTGTCTCTCCAGGGAAATCTTGTCACACTCCAGGTCTTGCTTTGCAGCTCTTTCCTGAAGGAGCTCGTTCCTCGTCTGCTCCATCTATAACAAGCAGAGCAAAAATCCAGAGCTTAAAGGGATTGTTCCCATGTCCTCTGGCCCGAAACGGATCCTAGGTGCTGAATTCCAACACCCATTACTCCTCTCCATGAGGGGGGCTGAACAACGGGCCTCTCGTGCCCTCTCCATAGATACAGGATCTGTCTCCTAAATAATCCTGATGACTGAGAAGGTAATGATCAAAAATAACAGAGCTAACCTTGCTGTTGTAGGGTGACCTATGTCCCCTCCCAGAAAGGTACACTGGCACTCTAATCCAGTACCTCCAACCTGCAATATGACCTTATTTAGAGATTTTTTTTATTCCTCTTTCCTATAGCGTGCATGTGCTTGCCAGAGAGAGACTAATGAACAGAGAGAGGGAAACTGGTGAGAGCCTGGTGAGATTTTTAAGCCACTGGGTCCAGGGGTCAAACTGCAGTCAGACACGTGGGATCCAGCGCCTTTATAACCACCACACCACTCTGTGGCTCCCAGAAATGGGCTCTTCCAGAGGCGATCCACTTAAAACTAGGTCCTTAGAGTAGGCCTCATCCAGTATGATTAGTGTCCTTACACAAAGGGGAGATGCAGATCCAGAGACAGACACGCACAGACGGAAGACCGCTGGGTGAAGACAGAGACACAAGCAAACACTATGTGAAGACGGAGGACTGGAATGATGTGTAGGAGTGAAACGAGATCAGAGGCAGAGACCCCACTCTCTTTCCAGAACTGTCCAGCAGAGGGTGGCCTGAAGAAATCAGGAGAATTGAGGCCACCAATAAAATAAAGCAACCATTTACTACTTAAGGGCGAGAAACAAATTCTGGTGGCAACATGACTGAGATGCACGCACGAGGCCCTGGACCCCAGGGCCCGGGAAGCTTTGGATATGGGCTCCCTGTCCTGGTCTCAGGTTATATTTTTGCCACCTATCTGGCACCTTAAGGAGGGTAGAAGGTACACTCACCCTTTCTCATCATCCCCCCTGGACAGCAAGAACTAGGGGCTTGGGAATAATAATTAGAGTACCACCAGGGACAGGCCGGCGCTGGCTCCCTGGTTCCTGTTACCCTGACCATGCTGTGTGCACAGGACACGGTATGGCTGGCCCTGAGCGGGTAAGGAGGACTGGTAATCAATAAGGTCCCTAATCCCACAGGAGGAAAAGGGTCCTGTGCTCCTAATCATAGGGTACCTACATGGTCAAAAAAATTATCCCATTTTTAAATTCCTAACTGGCAGGCCTCTAAGTCATGGGGGCTGAGTTGCACAGCCACAGAAACTGCAGACTGGCAGGTACAGAAGTAACCAGAATCAGCAGGGGCTCAGGTGTTCACTGCTCGCCACTTCACCGGCTGTCTCTCTAGACCTCCTAAGTGGAAAGGATTCCAACAGACCTGGATTCAAAGGCAGCTGCTACACGAACACCAAGACACAGGAGGGCAGTCCAGCTTGCTTGGGGCACCCTGTCTGGAACAGAGGGTCAGCAGCAGGGCATGGAACACTGCCTGTATCCCGCTTCCCCTGCCTCTGGCCCCAGAGCCCTCACAAATCATGTGTCACAGAGAAGGTGCTGGAATGATTCCCGTAACTGTTGCATGAGCACGAAGTCCAAGGGTAAAGAATGCGGGCTCACGGCCTGCTCAGTGTGGTCAACTGCAGCTGACGCCCATGCATGGAGGTCGCCAGGGTGGCTGGACCACGGGACTGAGGACGTGCCTCCTGGGGGAAACTGTTCTGTTCACGCCCCGGGGAGGGGGCCTGCACCTTGCTGAGAACATGGTGAAACTGAGAAGGGAGCAGTTCAGCAGTCGTTCAGCTGACCAGCCTCTCCTGCTTGCTATTCACCTGCACGCGACCTTGGGCACCTCACCTCTGGCCACAGGCTCTCCATCCCTGAGCAAGGAATTGAACCAGACAGCCTGGACGGGTCTCCTGAGCTAGCTTATGACATGCAGGAAGTAGGTTTTGGTGTCTTTTGTGATCTGTGGGGTGTCCTGTGGCTTTCTTGTTGAGTAAGCCAGAGGCCCCTGCCCTATCCCTAGACAAAGTTGCCACCCCATTTCTCTCGAACCTTTAGGTTTCTCCTAGAAAAACAAAAAATGAAAACAACAACAACAAAAAAAAAAAACCCTGTAGCTCAGAGGGAAAGTAAAAGGCAAGGACGGGAAAGAATTGAGATGATTTTTCAAAAAGTGAGGGGATAAGACAGGACTGTAGACTTGCAGAGAAAAACTTTGGAAATCTAGTTGCTATTGGGTGTGGGGCCAAAAATACTAGAAGAGAATGAAAGGCAAGAAGAGCAGACGTGAGGGAGGGTCTCGTTGCAGCTGGCCTTCAGTCTGGGCCTGGGGAAGGAGACGGGAAGTACCAAGAAGAAAGAGACATTCCTGTTTGTCCTCCCAGGAACACTCTGAGGCAGATGCAGTCACCCTCGTCTCCCCGGTGGGGAGCTCAGAAATGTGCTTGCGTCAGCTGAAGCAGCTTTGGGATTCTGACCCAGGCTTCCAACCAAAAGTCATATGCTCTGTTCTCCTGCTCTTCCAGCAATCCCGTAAGACTACTTAAGGACGGAAGACAAATCGGGGGCCTCAGTGCCTCTCGAGGAAGGGAAAAAATCCTCAAGGAGAGAGAGCTCTGACAGGGACTTTGGCTGCGAAAAGGAAGAAATGCCTACAGGGGGTTGGGGCAGAGGGCTGTGGAGAGCTCTGAAGTTTGCCAAGTGGTCATGTAGCCCTGGGCCAGGGCAAGGGGTTCAAGACAGACCCTGCAACTAAAAGAGGCAGCCGCTGGCCACAGCCTTGCTCCTCAGGGCCACTGGCTGAAAATCTGGATCCCACCAGGAAGCCAAGGAGGAGACCGAGGGAGACAGAAAATGAGAAAGCATGTCCTGTGCTGAAGAGCACGCAGCATGATGACATCGCCAAGGGTCTCTGGGATGCGGGACCTCCCTGGAGAGCGCCAGCTATTGATGACTCTTCAGAGGAAAAGAAATTATTTACGACTGCCCCCTCCTCCACCTCCCTTCAAAAAGTGGTAACTAAAATGGAAGTATAGGGCTAACCCCATAACTCAGCAGTTAAGGGAACCAGATCCCACACAACTGACCACAGTTCGAATCCCTGCCCAGTGACTTGAAAACACATCAGGCACGTCTGTGTGTATACATACCCCGAATCCTGATGAAGGAGAAATAGAAAATAATTACATTTGGCCACGCCCCATTAGGGGGGATGCTTTCTCTCTGACAGGTGCACATGCCCTCTGGCAAGTAAGCAAGCAAGCAAATAAATAAATAACACGGAAGTGTAAAAGAAATCAGAGTGAGGAATAGAAATAAACATGTAACCACGGAGGCGGGCTGCGACCTGGCACAGGGTCAGGTGTGCCCAGGCTGTGGCTCTGTGCTCGAGTGAGCGAGCTTGGTACAGCAAACTCTTTCCTACATGGCTGCAGCTCAGGCCCCTGGTGCTCAGCAAGACCATGGTCTCAACTCCAGAAGGGCTACAGAAAGATCGAGAAGAAGTAAAGGTGTTACTGGGAAAAGAGTATATGATGCCCTTACAGCAGAAATTAAGAACAAGATATAACACAAATCTCAGAAAAGGAAAAAAGAACTTCCTGGGACCAGCAGATGGTGTAATGGTTACGCCGCTGACTCCCATGTAGTCAACCGCGGTTTAAGTCTCGCCCAGAGACTTAAAACTCATGCCAGGTGTGTGTGTGTGTGCGCATGCCCAAGGTCCTGAGAGGAGAATGGAAGAGAAGGGACTGTGGCGTGGCCATCCTCCCCACCCCCACCCCCGGGAGGAGTGTGATTTCTTGCTTTCTATCTTTCTGTCTCTCCGGTGAGTGCATGCACCCTATAGCAAAAGTCTCTCTTTCTAAAAAAAAAAAAAAAAAAAAAAAAAAAATGAACAGAACTTCTTCACAATGAAAAGCCAGCTATGTGGTTGCTCCCATTACCAAAAGCGTATACAGGGAACATCACTAACTATGGATGGGATCAGCCAGATAAGTTTGTGAAAATCTACATGACCTAGGCTGGGGTTCGGGGTCCTTCTGAGAACGTGCAGGTGCATCTCACAGAGAGGTCATGTGATCTTTTGGTAAAGGACCTAATGGCAAGAGTTACTCCATGACTGTGAACAATCATTTGAAACCTATCTTTGTGGAAAGCAGTTCAAAAAAAGTTAAAACTGATACAGTTCTTATTTTATGTAGAAAGAAAGGAGAAAACACATGAAGGGGCCACCCGTGTCAGGCTGAAAAAGAGTGCACAGAGAAAGAAAAGCCCTCAATACAAACTGAAACAGATCCTAGTGAGGAGCTGATGAATGTTCTAAAGAAAATTTATGAAGACAGAGAGGCTCATAATGAAGCAAACCATTAATAAAGCCTAGGTGGAATCAAGAGAGATGCGAGCCAATGGAGAATCAGAATTTTGAGACTTAAAGTCCTTTCAGGAACTGTGATATGGAAATGCTGATATTTCCAATAAGAGAATGTTGGTGAGCAGCACATATAAATTTGACAGATAACTATTTACTCAGCCTTCTAAGTAAAGACAGTGGATCCTCCAGGTCCTACTGCAGAATTTATTTAAATAAAGTACGTTAATTTTCTCCGAAGAGGGTTTCATTAGCACCCTGGCCATTTTGTTCAAGAAAGGATTAAGCTGTATTTGAAATAATGAAAATGCTATACTGTTTTTATTCAGCAAAGAGATAAATAAAAAACAATGGCATTTACTTGCCTTTAAGTTAATGACATCAATTCCAGTGTCAGAACAAGAAAGAGTAACACTTGAATTTCTGCATAAAATACACGTTTGTACTTGTACTCGGAAGTTGATCCCTTACTACCAGCATAAGTAATACATTACCATGCACTAGTAATGCAATTACGAGTGATCCTGTGTACAGTTAAATATATCTGTTTATGCACCTATGGAACTGAAACTAAATATAAACCTGACAAGAATAGACAAGCATTTT